CCCAGGGGGGCGTGACTCTGAGCCCAAGAGGAGGTGAGCAACAGCCCTCTGCCCTGAAGCTAGTCAGGAGGGAAGCACATGATGTGGGAAGGAGGGGCTGTGGCTTCAATTACCCAGCCCAGGGCGGAGCTGGCCTGGGGGCGGGGAGAGGGGAGCTGGAGCACCCTTTAATGGCTGAGCTTCGCACCCATTTGTCCTCCAATCCTCCCAACAGTGCTGCAATGCCGGCTCTCTCTCCCACTCACAGACCAGGAAGCTGGGCTTCTGAGGGCCCAGGGACTTATCAGGTCACCCAGCTTTGTCAGTGGTGGAACCAGAGTCCAAACCTGGTGTCTGGCACCTAGAAGTGAGTGTGCTGTGCATGTCTAGGGAGGGAATGGATCACGCCTGGTTCCAGAGCCTGTGTTTTTGCCTCTGCACCCAGAGCTTGCACCCTGGGCCCACATCTCCACCTGGTCCCAATGGCTGCTCCCTCAGATAGTGCCTACCAACTCCAGTTGGCCTCAGGTGCCTCCTGCCACTTTGCTCACTGTGATACCCGCCCGTGATACCCCCTCCACTTTTAGTCTTGACAACACCCCTCAGGCCGTGCTCCACACAGAAGATTTTTAAAAATGTAGATCAGATTATGGCATGCCTGTGCTTAAAGTCCTCCAACAGCTCTCCCTCGCACTTAGAAAGCCAGTGTCATTTCTGTTCACATCCCTGGTACCTAGCAGAGTGCCACACGCACTGAGCTGCCAACTTGACTCAAAGAATCCTCACCATTTATTAAGCCGTTAGGGAGGCAGCAGTGACACATAAGTCAGAGCCCCTACCAGACAGCTTACCACGTGCTGGGGAAAAGGCATGGGGGACAGCAGGCAGGTCGGGGAAGCCCCTCCGTTCAGACCATGTCACTCCAAGCTCTCACCCTTCCCACGGCTTCCCATCACACCTGGAATAAAGTCCTTACCAGGCCAGCAAGGTTTCATGGGACCCAGCCCCTCCCCACTGCATACTCCACTCTAGTTGCACTGGCTCCTTGCTGCTTCTCGGACATCTGCTGAGCTCCGGAGCTGCCTGGGGCACTCGACCCCATGTCATCACCCACCTCACTCCCTCATTTCACTCCTGACTCTGCTCCAGTGTCATCTCAGAGAGGCCTTCCCCGGACACCTTGTCTAAAACGGTACCCACCCCCACCTCTCTCCACGTCTCCCCTTACCTTGCTTTATTTTTCTTCTCAGCACTTTTCATAACCAGAGTCTACACTTTGCTTCTGTTTTGATTTGTCTCCGGCACTACATGTGGCTGATGAGGCAGAGATCCTGCCTTGTTTCTATACACCCAGTGCCTGGAACAGCATCTGGCACATAGTTGGTGCCCAATAAACACATGAGTAGAATGAAGGTACTGCACGTCTACTAAGTGCCAGGCATTGTTATCCTATCTCTCCTTCATCAGAATTCCCAGAGGAGGAGATCTGAGCTCCAGGTCACAGATGAGACACTGAGGTTTAGGATAGGGGAGACCTTGCCTGGGCTCACCCAGCTAACAGGTGGCAGAGCCAGGATCAGGGCCCAGGACTGCCAGCTCCAAAGGGAGTGCTGCTACAGCAGGACACTCCACTGTGTGAGGTGCTGGGGAGGACCTGTCCTGTCACTAGTGCTGAATGGATTCTGAGGAAACGGGATGTGGGGGTGGGGCTGAGCTGGAGCCTTGCGTCTGCAGAGAGAAGGGCAGTGGCGGCAGTAGCCTCCGAGCTCTGTGGCCTTGCTGCCGCCCAGGCATGGCTGGTGTGGATATGCTTCCCTGTCCCTCCTCCCTCATCCTGACTAGCCTCCAGGGGTGTGGGCGGACAAGAAAATTCTTACAGGAGTTTCAATTTTTCTCGTCCCAAGTGAAGTAGGCCCAGATGGAGCCACAAAAAAGACTGATCTGTGAGGGGGGACAGTCCGGGGCTGTGGGGAGCATGGGAGAAGTGAGGCCCCGGCCAGGAGGCCCTGGTTATCCCAAGGGGCTGAATGTCCCACAAGAAACCAGGGACACTGGGGTTGCAGCCAAAGTGGGAGAGGCCTGGCTCCCTTGATGGGAACTTTCCTGAAGTAGACGGCTGGCAGCCACAGGAAATTTTCAGCTCTGAGGCTGGGTTGGAGTAAACAGGCTTGGTCCTTGCAAGGACACAAAGCACTCACTGTCCAGGAACAGTCATTCCAGGGTGGAGGGAACATTCTCATTCTGGTGCCATAGAGAACAAGGCTCTGACCTGCCCAGCCCCCACTCATGCATTCCTGGCCAGGATAACCTTCATCTCCATTTCAGGAGCTCCTCCTGGGGAGTGGGGAGTAGGATTTCCAAGGGCCATGGATTCTGGGGATTGCTTTTGCAGAGACAGCACAAGCAAAATGGGGCATGTTGTTCCAGGGCGGGTGCCGGGGAGGCAGTGGTGTGGGTATATTTAGCCCATGGTTCACACGACACACTTGGAAACAAACACAGCCATTTTCTCAGCAGGCGGCTGCTCTGGATAAATAAACAGGATTGCAGAGCAGCCCTGGTCTGGAAAAGCAGAGATAAGACCCCACTACTCTTCAGTGGCTCCCACTGGTTTTAGCATGGTGGGCAGGGGGTGAGATGTAAGGGTGGGTTGTAGGCAGGTCTCTGATGTCACAGAGGCTTTCAGGAGATCCAAGCCTGAGACAGTCTGCATCCTCAGCTTGGGTTAGAGCAAAGTGGGAGAAGTTTCCTTTCTAGCTGTGACCACAACCATGGAGATCCATGTGGAGGTTTTCGGGGCCACTGGGGATAGGCAGTGGCTAATGAGCTCCATGGGAGAATCATGAACTCCTAGCCAGGCAGACCACACAAGTCAGCAAGGCCAATCCACCCGCCCATTCTACAGTTTCACACAGCTGGTTTGTGGTAGAGCTTGAACTAGGAATCAGGGTCTCCTGACTTGGCATCGGGGCCCTTCAGAGCAGTGAGACAAGAACCAGGGTACCCAGGAGAAGCCCAGGCTGGGACCACTTTCAAGGTCCTGCCTCCAACAGTCCTGGCCGCACATATGGAGTGGCCCCACCCCACATACTCCAGAGTGCTTCATGCCCCTGAGCCTTTGCCAACACCGTGTCCTCCCCCAACTGGTCACCCTCCCCACATCTCCCTTTCTCAGTCAGCCACCCCTTGCTCAGCTTACAAGACTCCACTCTGGAGTCCTGTCTTCCAAGACGCCTTCCCTACTCGTCCCTCCTCCAACTCGGGGACAAATGTCTCCTTCGTGCTCCCAGGGTTTTTGAACTTCCATTCACACCATAAATATTTATTGGGCGCCTGCCATGCCCCAAGCCCAGTCCCGGAGACACAGCAGGGAAGAGACAAACAAGGTCCCTGCTTTCATGGAGCTTATGTTCTAGTCCATGCATTCTCAGTGGGGCTGCCACCACCTCCGACGGGGCGACACAAAAAATTCCTGGATATGACAGTGGTGTGTGGCTCTCCACAGGGCCACAGCCCATAAAGAGAGACACAGTACAGCTGTGCTATTCAAATGTCAGGGGAAGGCAAAAATGTCTAAAAAGACTCCTTGGGGGAGTGGTAATAAGGGGAAAAAAAAAAGGTTGAGAGACACTGTTCTAGTGGGAAGCAGAGAGGATAATAAGAAACAAGACAATTTCAGAGATGATGGGGTTTTGAAGACAGGAAGTCATGTGGAAGCGAGAGAGAACACCTGGGAGATTGACAGAGGTGCAGTGGTCAGTGAAGGTCTCTCTGGAGAAGTGAGGTTTGAGCTGAGGCCTGAATGACAAGGCAGTGGTGGCCAAGGGAGGATCAAAAATCTTGGGTGAAAAAGAGCATGTTCCAGCAAAAGCAACAATGCAAAGGTCCTGAGGCAGGAAGGAGAGGCAGGGTGTCGCTAGGTTGAGGCCCTCTGTATGTGTGTCAGTCTCCCCAACCAGTCTGGGGGCTCAGTGTAGGCAGGGACCAAGTCTGACCCAGGTCTGAAGCCAGGCGCCCATCCAGACAGGCACAGACTGACTTCAGCGAGGTCTCTGCCCAGGGACAGCCAACTGAACAGTGCAGGTCACCCTGCAGCCACCTACAGCCCTGGAGAAGTCAGGAAAAGGCTGGCACAACGATGCCCCTTGGGCAGCGGCCCAAGTGCCAGCGGACCGCCCACCCTGCGAGGGGCTGAAGTGCGGTCCCTGCTTGAATCTGATCAGTCCTCCGATTCCCCTCCTACTCCTCTCACCTCTCACGTGTCCACACTTCTTCCTAGAGGTGTGACTTTCAGCAGGCTCCTTCACCTCCCTGGCCCATAGTGTCCTCACTTGTTAAATAACAATAAAATAATCGTAACTGTTATTATGGCAGCTGACCTTTACTCCACATTTGAGTGTTTTACCTGTGCCAGGCACTGAGCTAAACGGCATGTTACCCTGACTAGGCTATAGTCCGTGATCATGTGCATAATCACATGCATTTGAGTGATTACTCTTTGTCCTGTCTCCCCCACTAGACTGTGTGTGGTTTTGTCACTTGTATGTCCAGAACCTGCTGCTGTACCTGGAACACAGCAGGTGCCATTCTTCTTCTTCTTCTTTTTTTTTCGCTCAAGAAGATTGGCCCTGGGCTAACATCTGTGCCCATCTTCCTCTACTTTATATATGAGACGCCTACCACAGCATGGCTTGATAAGCGGTGTGTAGGTCCACGCCTGGGATCTGAACCTGTGAACCCCAGGCCTCCGAAGCAGAGCACGTGAACTTAACCACTACACAACTGGGCCAGCCCCTAAATGAATCTATTTTAGATGAACAAGAGAATGACTATTTTCATTTAATCCTCGTAACATTTATCAATAGCCTCGTTCTACAGATGTGGAAATGGCAGCTTCAGGGGTCACCCACAATCTCTAACTAGGAAGTGGTGGGAACTCGTCTGAGTTTCGCTTCTTGCTTGTTCTGATGTCCAATTGTGCCATCTCAGTCTCTGCACCTCTACCCACAGAGAACTACCCTCCTCTGTGGCAGCAGCAGCAGCTATTTCCTGAGCACCTACCCTGCAGGGCACTCTTTATGGATTAGTTCATTTAACTGTCTCCATAGTCTGTCGGTCAGTGGGTACTATTGTTAACCCATCATATAGCTGATGGACCTGAGGCCCACAGAAGATCTGTGACTTGCCCAAGGTCACACAGTGAGCTGGTGACCCGGCTGGATTGCCTGCACCAACAATCTGGCTCCAGTGCCTTTGTTCCTAACCTCTGCTCACTTTCAGAAGGAATATACTTCTCGAGGCCCCATTGTGGGCCAGGTGCATGCACTTCTGTTACTGAAGGAGGTCCTTGTTCTAAGGCCAGGTAAATCGAAGCTCAGAGATACCAAGAGACCTGCCCAAAGTGGGTAAGTGGGGAAGCCAGTTTCAAGCCCCAGCATGTGCAGCAGCAAATCTCATATTCTGGCCAGGGCTCTAGTCCTGAGTCCTTCTAGGAGGGGGAAGGTAGCCTGAGGCCACCAGCTGAATGAATGAGCTCTGGCCCCCAGCCAGCTGAGGGGAACTGGGTGCCACAGGAAAAGGATGTGACGAAGATCAGGAGGGAAAGTGAAACCCTTCCGTCCTGGCTTCAGTGGGGAACAAGCGCCTGTGCCAGACGGGCTCTTCCTTCCTCTAGGGTGACTCTGAAGGGCCCAGGCCCACCGCTTCCTTCCTGCTTGGTTATTTCGAGAAAGAGGTAGGTGGAGAAGAGGAAGGGGCTCCCAGCAGCCCAGGGAAAGTGCCAGGGACGTCAGGACTGTACTTTGCCCTGGCCTCATCACAGCCCTTTGCATGGGCAGGCCGTGAGTCACTTGCAGAGTCACTTTCTGCTCCCGGCCTCAGTTTCCCTGAGGGAGAGGCTGATAAATGCCTGCTGAGTAGACAAATGAGGCCTTGGGAGATGGCAGGAAGATCCCAGGGAGATGGCAGGAAGTGGGGGTGGGGAAATGAGAGGCCTTATCACTCTCCTGGCAGGGAGTTGCAGGCGGAGACTTGGAAGAAGTGAGGTTTGTGGTTGGAATCCACTTCCCTTGGCTTTCCCGGGGGAGCTGTTGGTCTCAGCAATGTGAGAGGAATGCAGCCTCTCTCTATGCAGGGGAAACATGGACCTGGATGTGGGCAACTTAGAGAGGCAGCTCAGTGGGGCAGAGGCAAAGAGATGGGTGGCCAGACTGTGCTGGGGCCAACACTTCCGTCTAGCCAGCCCAGCTGTGGGCGCCACAGCAAGCCTCTCTATTTCTGAGCCTCAGTTTCTCCTGCTTTGACCTCACAAGGCAGCGGTGGTGAGACAGGGGATGAAAGCACTTGGTAAAGCAAAATGACCTTGGTGCTACTGGCTGAAGAGAGTGTCACGGGAGGCCCAAGCCATCTGGGCTTTAGGGAATATTTGGAGGCATCCTCACAGCAAACTTCGTGTTAATCTTTCTCCAACTCTGCCCCTGTTAGTTGGAGCCTCTCCTCCCCCGCCTCCTCCCCCACCATTAGTTCTAAGAAGCTAAGCCTGACAGATGTGCTCATTTCTCAGAAAAGGAAGTGGTTGTGCGGGGAGGAGATAATACCTCCGCTGGGGAATCAAGAAAGCTATAGGGCCCAGCAGTGCGAGCGTGGGCTCTCCACCTCCTCAGCTCAGAACCAGGGAGCTAGTCTTGGAGGCAGAGAGAGAGAATGCAGAAATGCATTTACTGGGGGCACAGATGCTCATTTAGGGGCTCATGACCTCCTTGCCTGGGAGTGATGGCTGACATTTATGGAGCACTTACAGTGTACCAGGTATGGTGCTAAGAGCTTCGTCGTTTATATGAATTCACTTAATCCTCACAATAAACCCATAAAGTAAGTACTATTATTACTCTCCATCTTACAGATGAGGAAACAGGCACAGAGAGGTCAAGTGACCCTCCCAAGGTCATACAGTTCATAAATGGCAGAGTTGGGATTTGAATCCAGGCAGTCTGGTTCCAGAGCCCAAGCACTTAATGGCTCCTGGGCAGCTGCTACAGGCTCATATGCATTCATTCTCTGGAATCCCAAGGCCTCCCTTCATCTCAACCCTCTCTCATCCCATCCCTGGTGACTCCCCATTCTTTTACAAGTAGCCACAGCCTTTCATTCTTCTCCCAGTGTTCAGGATGAGAAGGACCAAGGCTCACCCTTGAAATAGAGTCAGAGCCTCAAAAGTGACCTTACAACATACTCATCCAACCTTCATGTGATGCTCAAGCTCATCCTAACATCCTCATTTGCAGATGGGGCTCAGAAAGGAGAAGTGCCCAGGTCACGTAGTGGTCTGTTTCACTCCAGATCATCATACCTGTGGAGTTGACAGTCATCTCCAGGGCATTCTCCACTTACACACTTGTGATAAGGGGCTCCCTCCCTCCCAGGTGGAGCATTTGATGTTCGGACAGCTCTATTGGAGAACTTTTGCCTCTTTCCCTCTACCTCCCCCCACTGGCTGGCCTTAGTTCTGGTCCTCTCTCCTCTGCTGCTCTCGTCCAACTGTGTCCCAAGGGCTGCCCAAGAAGGCAACACGAGCTGGCAGAGGAAGCTTTGGTGGCCTTGTTCTGGGCCCTGGACCAGGTCCTGCTCCTCTCCGAGTATCAGTTTCCTCATTTGTAAAATGGCGGTGCTATCTGGATGAGGCCAAGGCTGGTGACAAATTAACTTCTATTTCTCCACTGAGCTGGGCTGCCAGAGCAAAGGCTAGGCAAGTACCCAATAAGTCTTACAACTAGACTAAGATGTTCAGCTTTGGACCTCATCTATAAAATGGGGATTAAAAATGTACTTATTTCACAAGAACATTGTGAGGATTCAATAGTAATACATGTAAAGCTCTTAGAACTGTGCATGGTGCACAGCAGACTTTGAGTAAATGTCAGTTATTATTACTGTTCTTATCATTAGACCAAGGCTCAGCTTGAGTCTTTTTTTTTTTTTTTTTTGTGAGGAAGATCAGCCCTGAGCTAACGTCCATGCCAATCCTCCTCTTTTTGCTGAAGAAGACTGGCCCTGAGCTAACATCCGTGCCCATCTTCCTCCACTTTATGTTGGATGCCGCCACAGCAAGGCCTGACAAGTGGGCGCGTGCGCCCGGGATCCAAACCCGGGCCGCCAGCAGTGGAGCGCGCGCACTTAACCGCTACACCACGGGGCTGGCCCCCAGCTTGAGTCTTAAAGCCGTCTCTATAGTCTGCAAGACCCTGCAGGCTTTCCTCAGCTTTGTCTAGGGCCAGGCTGCTTCATTCCTCACATGCCATGTTCTGTTCAGCCTCAGGACCTTTGCCCATGCTGGCTCCTCTGCCAAGCTCTCTCCTACTTATCTCTTGGGTCTTAACCTGTAGGCCACTTCTTCAAGGAGGCCTCCTGCTCTCTGCCTCCAAGTCTCCTTTCAGCTCTCTCGTCAGTTTGCTGAGCTGCTCATTGTTGACCATGAGCTCTATCCCCCAGGCCTAGCCCGTGCTGGGCCCAGAGAAGGTGGTGATGAGTATGGCTGACTGATGGACAGTGAGAAGGGAAGAGAAGAAAGGCCAGTTCCCTGTCTCTTCAACCCCACCCTCACCACCTGGCAAAATTAGGAGGAGGCCCCAAGACACAAGGAGATTGGGCAGGGTGCTCAGGACTCTCCAGACACCAAGTTCTCCCAGGCTTAGGAAGGGAGACAAGAAGCTTCTGGGGAGGTTTTGAAAAAAGCATCTTCTGCACTGTATTGAGGCAACAGGCAGGAGGGACTGGGGTAGCAACCTACAAGGAACAGGGGCTTGGTCTCTGGGGCCAATCCCCTCCCTAAAACTCTGCTTCCTTCTGGGGTCTATGCCTCCAGGTACTCTATGGTCCAAAGCAGCCACTCCCTCCTCCTTTCTGCCCCAAGTGTCCCCACTCCCTCGTCTGGTGCTGATCAACGCTACACGCTGTGAAGAAAAGAGCACTGGCTGAGAAGTCAGCAAACGTGGGTTTTGAGTCCCAGCTCTATCACTGGCTTGCTTGGGGTGAATCCAATCCCCTGTCTGGGATGCTGGGAAAGTCTGCGACTTTCTCCACCTGTAAAATGAAGGGGATCATCTCAAAGGGCTCCTACTAGTGCTGTAGCATGAGGAGGATGAAAGTAACTCGCACATGGACAAATGAGTGACAACTTGGGTTCTCTCTCTCAGGGGTATCCAAAAGATCCAGTAATTAGTGTGGAAGGTGAGAGGTGACATTCTGGAGTAGAAGGACTTGTCACGAAAGGGTCTGATCCTCCTCCACCTCAAAACCTGCTGAGCCTTGCCCTCAAACCTGCAGGATTCCAGGGGGAAAAGGGCAATGGGTACATCTGTGACCCAGGGCAAGCTCCTCAGAGAGGCCAGACCTTGCTGGGCTCTGCCCCTATGGCCTCAACCTCCTCAACCCCAGCACCGCCTCCAACTAGTCCAGACAAGTCCCGGGTATTTTCAGCCACCTTTATCTGATCGGAAATGTTTGGAATTCCACAGAAGGCAACAGCTCTGGAGGATTTGGGGACAGGAGCAAATCCTTGCAACACCCTTCCCTCCCACTGTACATGTGAATGCTCTCACACACACCCCTTGTAACCAAAAACTCAGCTGAAGGCTCCCACGGGGTTGCATTTCCTACATTCCGGTTCCTTCTACTCTTCTCCTGGTTCATCTCCACCCCAGTCCACCAGCCCCCTCAAGGTGCAGAATAGCAAGATGCCTGAGATGATGCCAGGAGAGCTGGAGGACTCTGTAGCTGATGATGCCCAAGGAGGTGCCACCTGGAGGTTTGCTGTTCACAGTCAACACCCAGAGCACCAATGAACTGCAGAAGACCACCACCACCATCAGCACAAGGAGCCCCAAAAGCAACTCACTGTCCCACCTGATGTGGCATGCGGACCACCCAGAAATCATGTGTCATGATCTGTGGTTCACAGAGCAGTTCAACCCCTCTCCCTGAACAGATGGGAAACTGAGACCCACAAGAGGTGAAGGGACTCCCCTGCAAGGCCTCCTGACCCCAGAGTCCGGCAGTGTGGGTTCTGACCCAGCTCTATGACTGTCTACTTGTGGGACCTGGGGCAAGACCCTTTACTTCTCCAAGCCCGGAGTCCTGTCTGTAAAGTGAGAACACTATTTCTATCACAGGCTTGGCAGCAAGAATTAAATGATCCATGGAAAGTGCTCAAGAAATGTTAGCTGTTATTATTTTTTATAGCTAAAAATGAGTGGCCCTATTTGTGCTTCTCATGGTGTATCTCATTATTTGTAGCTACAAACAAAAAAATAACAGCTAATGTTTACTGAGCCCCTGCTTGCATTCTCAAAATCTTGCAAGTAGGTGTTGTCCCCATTCTACCAATGAGGAAACTAAGACTCAGAAAGGCGATGAGACTTTGCCTGAGATCACCACTGACCAAGCGAGGGTGTGTGACTCCACCGCACGTTGCATTTGCCAGTGCAACGGGACAGACGCAGAGGGATGTTACCAAACCCTTCCTTCCCACTTTGCACCACCCACCCGCCCACTATTTACTGAGGATCTGCTATTCTTGGGCCCTGGAAGTCAGAAATGACTTTGAAGGCAGGGAAGAGGCATGCCCCCTGGTTCCCTGGGTACCTTGGGGGTGGGAAAGGAAGAGGTGTGCTGACGGCTGCTCTGTGCTTCCTCCCTACGCCCAACACAGCCCTTGCAAGGCCAGTCCTTGCAGACACAGTCCCTCCCTGTATCTGGTCATTGTCTTGGAAACAAAAGTGATGACAAGTAGCTTCGGTGGAGCTGTTAGCTGAGTTTTCTAAGACAGACTGTGACCCCTTTGTGGGCCTGACCTGTGGGGTTGCAGGAAGGACCAGACAAGCTGCCCTGCTTAGCTCTGGACACTCATTCATTCCTTAAATCTTTATTAAGTGCCCACTAAATGCCAGGCACTATGCTAAGTGCTTGGGATAAAGCCGTGACTAAATCAGATGAAAATTCCTACCTGCATGAGTTTACAATTGAATGGGAAGAGATAGGCAATAAATAAATGCCACAGATGGTGGTAAGTGCTAAAAAGAAAAATAAATGAGAGAAAAGAGTTAGAGAGAAACATGCAAGAGGGAAAGATTAGAACCTGTGGTCAGGGAAAGCTTCTTAAGGAGGTGACATTTGATCAGAGCCCTGAAAGAAGTGAGGGAACAGGCATCACAAGGTTCTGAGGAAAGGCAGATGGAACAGGAAGTGCAAAGGCTCTGAGGCAGGAACATACTTAGGGTGCTCCAGGAACAGGAAGGACACCAGTGTGGCTGAAGCCATGTGAATGAGGAGAGAATGGTAGCAATGGGGTCTGACAGTAGCCAAGGGCCAGACTGTGCAGGGCCTTGAAAGCCATTTAAGGACTTGGGTTTGTCCTTTGAGTGACATAGAACACTGTAGAGTTCTGAGCAGGAGAGGGACATGATCTGACTTTGGTTTTAACAGGGTCCCTCTGGCTGCTGGATGGAGACCTCCAGGTGCAAGAGTGGAAGCAGGAGATCTGGTGAGGAGCTAATGCCGTCACGCAGGAGAAATATGATGGTGGCTTAGCCAGGATGGTGCCAGGGAAGCTGGTGAGAAGCAGTCAGATTCAGAATTTATTTTTAAAAGTAGAGCTGAAAGGATTTGCTAATGGATTGGATGTCAACTGTGGGAGTTGCTTGCCTCTCTGGCCTTCTGTTTCTCATCTACAAAAGCCAGGGGAAGAGGCCTTGGAGGATTTTTTTCCAGCTTGATAACTATGGGAACCCTATGGGATGAAGAAAGAGACAAAACCGTTTCTACTCTCATGGAAGTAAAGCCATTTGCTCTCCAGCCCCTGAGTGGTGAATGGCAATAAGAGGAGGAAGGCTGGAGCTGGACAGAGACAAAGGGAAGGCTGTGGCTGCCGACTTTCAGCAGATGCATGACTGGAGACCACCAGGCACGTGCAGGGCCGTGGAGTAGCTAGGCCCGGGTGGGGGTGGGGGTAGCTCCATCTATATCAGGAGGGAAGGGGCATCGGAGCCAGGCTGTGTCCGGGACCTACTAGGCAGACGGTGCTCAGTGAGTGAGTGAGGCAGTGCCAGGAGGCCAGGACTGTGCGCAAGGACTTCTCAAGTCCTTCCAAACTAACAAGAGGTAAGCCTGGTCCATGGGATTCCTCTCGTGTCATTCCTTCTGGCTCTATTACATTCTAGGCAGAGTCTCAAGTTCCCATTCTTCATGAATGGGAGACGTGAGGTCTGAAATCACCAAAGCGGAATTTCAGAGCTGGAAGGAAGCACAGCCACACCCGGTCCACTCTTCCCACAACTGCAGATATCACTGTTCGGGCCTTATCCAGGTATAATCGTTATTATTAACATTTTTCTATCAATTGACTCGCTTTTAAACGTATTGAAAATTCTTTTTTTTTTTTTAATTTTATTTATTTTTCCCCCAAAGCCCCAGAAGATAGTTGTTATGTCACAGTTGCACATCCTTCTAGTTGCTGTATGTGGGACGTGGCCTCAGCATGGCCAGAGAAGCGGTGCGTTAGTGTGCGCCCGGGATCCGAACCCGGGCCGCCAGCAGCAGAGCGCGCGCACCTAACCGCTGAGCCACGGGGCCAGCCCCGAAAATTCTTAATTTCCCCCCAAAAACCTGTTCTTCCTGCATCTTCCCCCTTTTTAGTAAATGGTAGTAGCTTCATCCTTCCATGCTGAAGCCTGAACACCCTGAGTCATCCGTAAGTCCTCTCTAGCTCTGATCTGTCAGCAAATTCCTTTGGATCTATATTCAAAATTTATCCAGAATCCCACTGCTTCCTACCACCTCCACTGCCACCATTTGTTCAAGCCAACATCATTTTCTGCCTCTATTGTAACAATCTTCTTACTGGTCTCCCAGCTTCTTACCTCCCCATATGGTCCCTCACCACACAGCAGCCAAAAGGGTCCTTCTAAAAGCAGTCAGATCCTGTCTGTTCAAAACACTCCACTGCCTTCCCATCTCACCTAGAGGACGAGCCAGTGTCTCACCATGGCTCACACAAACCTTCACCTTCTACCACTTGCTCACTCTGTTCCAGCCACACTCATCTCCTCTGCTCTTCCTCAAACACACCAAGCACATCCTTCTTACCTTGGGGCCACTGTACTTGCTCCCTCTGTCTGGAATGTTCTTACCACAGATTGTTACATGGTTTACTCCCTCAGGTCATGCATATCTCTGCTCACATGCCTCAGAGAAGCCTTCCTCAATCACTCTTTATTAAAAAAACAAACAAATACCAAAAGCTGCCTAGCCACCCCCACCATCACTCTCTGTCTTTTTAGAATGTAAACCCCACTAAGGCAGATATCCCCAGTAGCTAGAATGGTGCTTGGCACAGGGTAGATACTCAATAAGTATTTGCTAAATGAATAAATGAAACAAAAAGGCAACTTATATTATTACTACTATAAATAGAAAGCCAGTATTATTTGCCACAGATAAAATAAAAACACTATTAAAATTTTTTTTAAAATGTTCATTTGCGGGCCGGCCCCGTGGCTTAGCGGTTAAGTGCACGCGCTCTGATGCTGGCGGCCCGGGTTCGGATCCCGGGAGCGCCCCGAGGCACCACTTCTCCGTCCAACGTCCAACGCGAGGCCGAGTCCCACGTACAGCAACTAGAAGGATGTGAACCTATGACGTACAACTATCTACTGGGGCTTTGGGGGGAAAAAACTGAATAAATAAAATCTTTAAAATGTTCATTTGCATATCACCTATAAGTTATCTTGAAGATCAATGGTATGTGTACCAATCTTGGTCCCACACCTTTACAAAGGAGACACATGAGGCCCAGGGTAGGAGAAAGCTCAGGACAGAATCAGCCAGCCAATTGGAGGCCGGTCCAGAGCGGCCACACAGGTGCCCCCTGAGTGCCTTGGAACCACAGCCCTGCCCCACTGAGTGCAGACAGAGACTGAATCTTGGGAAGGGGGAGCTAGGTTGGACCAACAGAGCCTTTCTGAGGGGCCAGGGAAGCTCTCCCCTGGGTCAGGCTCAGAACTGGCAGCTCTGCTGAAGAGAACAAAGGCCAAAGAGGAGTGTGCCGGGCTGGAGGAGCCTCAGGGGGCTGCATGGTGGAGGACTGGCACGCACAAACCTGTAGGTGAGGTCCATGGAGACCAGACAGCTGAGAGCAAAAATGAAAACAGGCTAGGTCCCAAAGCGTGGCAGCTTCAATCCCGTAAACACTAGACAGGCGTGGGGGTTCAGGTGCAGGCCTGAGGGCCCAGCTGAGCCCAGGGGGAGGATGAGACCTTCCCAGTCCCTTCTGTCAGTGATGACGACTCTAAGCTGAGCTCAGCAGAGACACTGCCAACCCTGCTAGTAGTCACAGCAGACATTAAGGCGGAAAGAGACAGAGTCACTCTCCTAGTTCCCACATTCCAGATGGTCTTTTCTAGCACCCTCCTAAGCCCTAGCCAGCTCCACCCACAAGGGGCCTTGAGGATTTGATCCCTTTTTGGAGGGGCACATCCTTTTCCCATCCCCGTGGGGCTTAGCAAACATGGCTGCAGGTGCAGGGGGTAAAGCTGAGCTGTTCTAACTGCCAGGCCAGCAATGCCTGACCTACATCTCCATGGTTGGTTGCATGCAAAGAAAAATACCAGGGATTTCCGTTGGTGTTCACCAGATGCAGCTGCCAAGGGAAGGCTGGGCCTTCCGAAGACCTGTTGTGAGTAGAGAAGGACAAGTGGTGAGCTGGCTGGGATAGGCAACGGGGCTGGCCTCTAAATTATTTCCTGGCTTTGAGGACCTCCATAGATTTGAGAGACTCTATCAAGTTTTTATCTTTTTTTCTATCAAGTACTTCGACTGAAGTTTTTTTTTTTTTTTTCCTTTTCTAGTATATTATCTCAGTAAGAATTGAGAGAGAGAAAACGAGACTCTATTTGGAAAAAGAACTCCCCAAACTCAACAGTTCTTCTAATTGTAAACTGCTGGCATTTGGAGTGAGGCTTTAGATTTACAGAGAAAAAAGGCAATTTGGAAGTTTTGCGTGGTAGTGTGAGAAGGACCTGGGACTTCAGAGTCAGGACACGTGGGTTTGCTCCTGCTCTGTGGTGGCTCTATCCGGCTATGGACATGTCAGTTACGCACCCTGGGCCTTCCTTTTCTCATCTGTCAAGTGTGGAGGATGGACCAGATGATCTCTAAGGCCCCCTCTCCAGCTCCAAAGGAGCTATGATCCTGTCCCTAGGCCTTGCTCCTGTACTCCCTCAGGTGAGTAGTGTTGTGTAAGGAAAAAGTAAGCGCTCTTAAGAGACAAGAGACCCAAGTTCTAATCCCAGCGTTGCCATTTATTAACTCACGGTGTGATCTTGGGCAAGTCACTTCACCTCTGGGGGCACTCCACTTTCTTCATATGTAAATCAAAGACTTGAAAGTGCATTGAAAAAAAGCACTGTAGGAACTCTGGTGTTATTATGCCTCCCTTATGTCGTTCACTCCTTAGCATACGCCTGCCTCCCAAAGGGCCTGTTCTTTACCCTGGAATTGCCCCAGCTTGCAACCCTAAGATTCTAGAGACACAAAATGGAGGAGGTGGGGTTCAAACCCAGGTCTGTCTGATTGCAGAGCCTGTGTTCTCCCACTATAGAAATGTGGAGGCAGCATGGATAGCAGAAAGGACTTGGGATTTAAAGTTAGAAGACCTCAGTTCCCTCCATGGTAAGAGGAAGACCTCCTCTACCTCCCAGCATGGCCAGAGGCTCAATGACATAATGTATGGACACAAAAAAGCACCAGACAAACCTTAGTTAATGATCCCGTGCCATTACTATGTGATCCAAGCCTGGGTTTCCCCACAATCTAAAGGTTTCCCCACATCTTAAGGATATTACAGCTTCACTTCTCAGCCTTTCGTCCTACAACATTTTGGCCTCTCCCTTCTTGTCCATATCTGGTCCATCCTTCCAGACTCCCTTTACCTGGAGCCTCCAAGCCACCAAGCACAGAGTCTACAGTGCTCTCCCCGAGAGGCTGTGGAGGGGTTCAGAGTCCTAACTCTGAGACTTATTTGCTGTGTAACCCTGGGCTGATCACCTAAACTCTTGAGTCTCAGGACCCACA